TGGTTCTACACTTAATGCTCCTCAACCTCCTTCCTGAGGGGAGTGGGGCAAAAAGTGTGTGTGCTGGGTGCGTGTGGTCCTTCATGATGCAGGTGGCCCTCTTCCTGCATCTGGAGGTGTAGATGTCTGTGATGGTGGGGAGACTGACTCCAACATCTTCTGTGCAGCCTTCACCACTCTCTGCAAAGCTTTTCTTTCTGCAGCTGTGCAGCCTCCATGCCACACATTGATGCTGGAGCACAGGATGCTCTCCACTGCACACCTGTAGAAGGAGGTGAGGACTGAGCTTCCCAGACCAGCTCGCCTCAGCTGTCTGAGGAAGTAGAGTCTCTGATGAACTTTCTTCATCAGGCTGGTGGTGTTGTTGCTCCAGCTGAGGTTGTCATTCATGTGTACACCCAAGTACTTGTAGCTGGAGACCACTTCCACCACCGCAGATCCTCTTATGTTCAGGGGGGTGTAGGTGTTTTTGTTCCTTCTGAAGTCCACAATCATCTCCTTTGTCTTCTTCACATTGATGTGAAGGTTATTCTCTTTGCACCAGCTCTCCAGGTGTTCCACCTCTTGCCTGTAGCTGGACTCATCATTGTTTGTGATGCATCCCACCACGGCTGTATCATCTGCAAACTTTACAATGTGACAGCCTGGATGGGTAGCTGCACAATCATACGTGAGCAGAGTAAACAGGAGGGGGCTCAACACACATCCTTGAGAAGAGCCAGTGCTGAGGGTTATGGTGGAAGAGGAGAGGTTGTGGATCCTCACTAACTGTGGTCTGTTTGTTAAAAAGTCTAGTACCCAGTTGCAGATGGAGGGGCTTAATCCTAGTGTGGACAGTTTGTCCATCAGGGTTTGGGGGATCATGGTGTTGAAGACAGATGTGAAGTCCACAAAGAGCATACGGACGTAAGAGTTTTTCTGCTCCAGGTGGTTGAGCGCAGTGTGGACCACAGAGGAGATGGCATCCTCTGTTGATCGGTTCTCACGGTATGCATACTGATGAGGGTCCTCGTTGATGTTGATGGTTGTTTTGATGCGAGTCATGACCAGTTTTTCAAAGCATTTAGCGACTATCGGGGTGAGGACCACTGGCCGATAGTCATTCAGACTGTAATGACTAGCGGAACCCAGATTGGTACAAGACCAGAACGAAGCAGACTCAGATCTTAGAAAGGAAGAAACAGTGTTTATTATATACAGTGTAGGGGGTTTATATACATATATGGCAGTCCTCTGGCGATCAGATGTAGGCGTCGGGAACCAGGGTAGGGCGGAATGTACAAACAGGTCAGGCTGGAGAAAACAGGACGACAGGACTGGCAAACAGAATCTGCTCGACGAGTCTGGCAGATGAGTGGCTCGACAGGTCTGGCAGGCAGGTGGTTGACGAGGCAACAAGGATGGAGTCAAACAGGCAGGGTACTGCGGGCATAAAGAACAAGATAAGAGTATATCGTATACTCACACGTTTAGGCTGGAGGCATAAATACCAATAAAGCTCAATGCTCCAGCGATGAGTCACACAGGACTGCAGCCTTAAGTAGAGGTGTTCCTCATCAGGTGGATGACCGTCAGCTGGTGTTAATTAACGGCCATCTTGAAGGAAGGCTGCAGACATTGGGACTCCTACACAGACCAGTCACTGTAGAGCTTTTTGGGACTGGGATGATGGTGGCAGTCTTCAGGCAGGTGGGAACTGTCTCCAGGGTAAGTGAGGTGTTAAAGATGTCTGCCAGCACCTCACAGAGCTGATCAGCACATTCCTTCAACACTTTTCCGGGGATGTTGTCTGGGCCAGTTGCATTGTGCGGATTAATCCTCCTGAAGGTACTCCTTACTTCTGCTACTTACCATGTTCTGTGACCTGCAACAGTGCATGCAACACTGCCCCCTACGGTCACAATATACGGTGGTCACAGAATATGGTGTAACACCGGTTTGCAACGCACTCCAAACAGTCAGGAAGTTGATTCATTTTCTGTTTCCTTACGGTAGTTGAACCAGAAGATTCATCTTTAGTGAAATATTTACAGACTAGTGATGTATTTCTACCTGTCTGCCAAGACTGGGTCTGCTTTGTGCCATCCATTTGCTTGGAGGAATCCATTTTGTAACCCGCGCCCGGTGCAGATCACGTGACACGCGACGCAATGACGTAACGGCGACGTAATGACGTCACCACGAATAGTCAACATGAAATTAAAAAAACTCGATAGATGTCCTAGGAATCGATGTGTAGATTACTTGAGTACTCTGTTAAAGCCCTAGTTTACACATATCCCATGAGAAATTTGATAAGTCTGTGTGCTTCGAAGCCAAACTGGGGAGTCAGATTCAGATACGCTCCAATTGTTGATTTTTTTTTCAGGCAGACTGTTATTTCTCATCAGCCTTGAGTCCTGCTGGTACTTTCGATCCAAAATGGCCAGATTTCTGGGCATTCCACTGGTTCGTGCTTATGAGTCCCCTCCAAGGTCATCCCCAACATGCTGGCAAGTCCCAGAAGCTGAAGGTGGCCTGCGATTCTCACAAATCGCTCCTATCTTACGATTTAGTTTGTAAATCAGCTGATTTTGAGTGCTCGAAGCACAAACCAAACCTTCACACATGGTCGGCAGCTTTGCTACGGTCGAAAATGCTACCGCTGTCTTCCTTAATGGCCAATAACATAGGTATTGGCCGGTGCCAAAAAGCAGAAACCCTGCTATCATGATTCCAATTATATGAATATCTTTGGCATCCTCCTGAGGCGATACGGAAAGGCACATCAGCTTCCAAACTCCCCATGGATCCATGACGTATTCTGTCACGTGCGTCTCAGCTGGTGCATGAGGGCTCTCTAGGACCCTGTCACTTTGTTGAAAAGATTTTATCTTTTGTGTTGAAAGTCCAGCTGACCAGATCCATGACAGTAGTTTTTTGTTTCTGAAGATGTGTAAATAGGAGCTCCGGTGCACAAGAAGTAGGCGGAGGACAGGAGAGGGAAGAAAAGGTGTCCACCTTGCATGAGAGCGAGTGGGGGGAAAAAAAGGCACAGGGCAGTTGCATAACTTGATTGTGGTCATGTGACTTCATTGGGGTCATGTGACATGTAGAGCTGTCGTTTCTAACCCGAACCTGAAACCCGACCCGAACTGATCCGGATTAGGGCCGGTCCGGGCCGTTATAATATGATTAATGTGCGGGCCGGGCCGGTCTCGGGCTTTGATGCAGTTTAATGAATCATACAGCACAAATAAAACTAAGAATGCACAATGTAAAATTGTGTTAATCTACTTGCTGAGGAGGAGGCAGGTCGGTCTGACCGGCCGGTTTAAAGAGGTTTTAAAAAGTCACATTAAGCTCAGATGGACACCTGTCACCAGCCGCGCATGTCCGCTGACTCGTCGGTTGAAATGGACTTGCGATCTGTCCAGGGTGTACCCCACCTTTTGCACAGTGACTGCTGGACATGGGCACCAGCGACCCCCGTGACCCAAAATGGAATAAGCGGGTAAAGATAATGGATGGTTGGATGGATGGATGGATAATAGCTGATCTTCAGAGTTGATTCTTTAGGCTATTCGTTTTGTATGTTAATATCTCGACTTGTTAATAATAAATCTTAGATCTTCCTTTCGTTACATTTTTTAAAACTATCATATCAAACTGATTTACTTACAAACGCAGTAAAAGCTTAATTAAAAAAAAAAAGCCTGTTTTTTTTTTTCAGTTCAGTCCTCTAATAACTGGTAATCCGTTGGGTCTGGGAAGGGCTCGGAAAAACAAACTATGGGCTCGGTCCGGTCCGGCCGGATTTATTAGGCCCGAATGAAACTCTAATGTGGTTATGTGACTTGATGTGGTTGTATGACCTCAGTGTGGTCATGTAACTTCAGTGCGGCCCATGACTTCAGTGCGTCACGTGACTTCAGTGCAGTCGTGTGACTTCACTGTGGTCATGTGACTTCAGTGTGGTCGTGTAACTTTAGTGTGGTCCGTAACTTCAGTGTAGTCCGTGACTTCAGTTCGGTCGTGTAACTTCAGTGTGGTCCGTGACTTCAGTGTAGTCCGTAACTTCAATGTGGTCATGTGACTTCAGTGTGGTCAGTGACTTCAGTGTGGTCCGTGATTTCACTGCAGTCGTGTGACGTCAGTGTAGTCCATGACTTCAGTGTGGTCCGTGACGTCAGTGTAGTCATGTGAGTTCAGTGTAGTCCATAACTTCAGTGTGGTCATGTAACTTCAGTGTGGTCATGTAACTTCAGTGTGGTCAAGTAACTTCAGTGTGGCCATGTAACTTCAGTGTGGTCATGTGACTTCATTGTGGTCATGTGACTTCAGTGTAGTCCGTCACTTCAGTGTGGTCATG